AAGAACCAAGATACTCATGTAATGGTACAAGATCCCAATGATGAATGTAACTGTATTTTATGCCTAAAATGTACCAATAAACTTAATGGGGAAAATATTTAAAACACTCATTCTCATTTAAACAGTTGAAGCAGTTCCAAAAGTGAGGAGGGTATAAGAGATTATCATCATTGTAAAACTGTCAAAACTCCAGGATATTGGTCATCATATGAGCAAAATAAAAGTGAATTTGGGCAACAATAATGCTGAGCTGTATTACTTTGTGATACAAATATGGCCAGTCCTGTCATAGGGCAATGTGAGAGGGCTGGGTCTCCTCTTCCCATCCAGTTTCCACTTGTCTGGTTTCTTTCACATTTCTTTCCCCAATCCCTTCTCCCAACAATATCCAGAGAAGTCTATGTCCCCATGATGTACATAGATTTGCTGAGAGAGAGAGACAGACAGAGACAGACAGACAGAGAGAGAGAGAGAGAGAGAGAGAGAGAGAGAGAGAGAGCGCTGAGAATTTTCAACAATTTAAGAAGCTGTACTAGCATTCTGATTCTTTCAAATATATTTACACCTTTAAACTGGAATTTGAGAAAAATATCTGGGAGAAGTTGAGTGGGAAAGGGCTGAGTTGTAGATAGCAAGAAACATATCACATCTTTGCATTCTTAGCACATGTAACAATTCTTGGCACAATAATGAAGTGTGTGACTGACCACATTCAGGTTTGAGGTGTACCCTACGACTATCTCCCATACAGCAGTTGGTCAAGTTTACTATCACCCGCTGACTTTCTACCTTGCTGTCTCTAAGTGGAAGCCTGAATGTGAGTGGTTCCCAGCCAGTAAGGCTCATTGCTGCAAGTGACCCTGCTGTGACATGCTCAGTGGCGCACTGACTTGCACCTTGTGTTATCTTCCTAGCATACTATTTTCTAAAGACTGCATGGACTGAGGCTCTGATTCGAATCCTGTTGTTCATTCCAGTCTACCACTTTAGCTTCTGAGGAGTTTGGAGGAACACGGAAAACAGGACTGTTCAGTAATTCTGCCTTCTCTTTCCATTCCTACTAGTTTTTCTCAAACTGTCTTGTTTTGCTACACATTTTACTTCCATAGTTTGTCTCCTGATCGCCATCTAGGCTACTGGGTTTAAACAACCAGGTTTGAGGGCTGGGATGGTTTCTACCCTTCCTTTTCTCATTTGCCATTCATGCACACACACACCTTTGCAGCATCTTTTCTTCTGTAATGGCTTAGCAGTCTGGGCTCCATCCAAAGTCCCTCTCTTCCCACCTACTCAAACAAGTTCTCACAGTAAATTTGTTTCCCTGCCCTCAGTCATTAATATTTTTCCTTTCTGGTGTCATTATTCATACCAACATATAAATTATGCTAATATTCTCCTTATTGGGATGAAAATGGTTTTAAAATCACCATAAATTGTACGTGCTTCTCCAACCACTGGCCGTATTTTTATTTTACTTTTAACCTCAGAAACCCTCAAAATAGCTCTCTATATTTTGCTTCCATTCTTTTCTTCCCATTTTCTTATGAGTTTTATTCTCAACTCTCCAAACCAATTGTTCTTAACAACACTAATGCGGTCAATTCCCAGGCTTCCACATACTTGACCTATCAGCAAAACCCTTCTAACACTTTGGACTCATCACTTTGAGGTAGCCCATTTTTTCTGTGGCTCTTCCAATCTTACTAATCATATTTACTGGATACCTCTGTTGCTCCTATTGTATGAACCCGATAGTTACCCAAAGAATATTTCTGGGTTCCCTGACTATCTCCATCTCGATTTAAATCACAGTTGTCTCTACCTAGGCTCTCAAATGTGAAACCTATGGACTGTGACTCTCATGTTAAGACTTCCAGGTTTGATTTCTACTGTGTCAGGTTTATTTTTTTTTTTATCTCACTGCCACTTGATAATCTCTATTTCAGTATTTAAGCCCTTAACAAAATTGACACCGAAGCTTAACCACTGTCACCCACCATCAACCTTAGATTTGATCCTATTTTAGTCTTTACAATTTCATTAAAGGGAAACCTTCTGCTAGTTGAAGCAAAAATAAACAAACAAACAACAACAAAACCCAGCAGAACAAACTTGAGAACCACTCTGGTTCTTTTCCTCTTACTCAACTCCTATATCTCATGAATCACAAAGTCCGTAACTTGATTACTTTACGCCAGGTTTACTGCTGCTGTCCTACTACAAACCACTATGAGCTCCCACAGTTAGAACAAAAGAAGAGGGTGATTTACTCCAGGATTTCGTTCTATCCTCAAACTGGCTAAATTTTTATCTTCTGCTGAGGGATAGATGTAGAAATAAGTGTCCACAGATCATTCATGGCTTTTTCAATTCAATGTGCGACTTGAATTATTTTTATTTTTATAGTACATACAATAATTCAGGAAAATATGACCTTAGTAATACTAGGAACCAACTCACCAAAATCTAGTTCACGTAACTGGATTTTCTAGACCTCTTTTATTTTGTAGTGCTGGCTCTGCTGTGTCTCCTGCTACAATGCTCCTTGCATTTTAGACTTCCTTCAAATTGTTGGTTATATCCTTTTGAATATTTGACAATAAACCACCTAAATTTAGCCATTTTTGTCAGTATCCATGGATCTTTAGGTGGAAACTTGTTGAATGTTGTTAATGAAACACAAAAGCTAGTAGTGGAGATATGTATAATTTTCATATCTTCTAATACCTATGAGAAAGATTCAGTAAATAATTTTATTTACCTACTTATAAAAGCAACAAATTATTGAGATTTAATCCCTATATTAGGAGACTTTAGATTATAGAACTGAAGTTACTTAGAAATCATGTTAGCTATCCTTTTTGTTTTGAATTTTTAAAAACTCAGTTGCAAAACTAAAGTAAAATGTTCACATGTACACAGGAGTCTATTTTTTTTATTTACAGAAAAGAGTTCTAAGAGAGTGTATTATTTTCTACTGAATGGCTGGATTAGTGCAACATTTTTAGCTTCTTTTTAAACATGACTAGTTCTTAAGAGAATATTTCATTTTCCTTAAATCACAGTATTCACAGAGTTAGCAGAAAGTATTAATACAAGATTAGATGAGAAATCTACCATGACCTATCAGAATATCTTAACTGTTATCATTCCTTTACCCTGCTAATTGAGATGAATTATTTCTTATATTTGGGGATTTTGCTGAATAGACTCCAATGGAGAAGCAGGACTCCATCAAACAGAGCATGGGTCTCCCTGTATCACTGAAAAAAACCCCAACAACACCACCATCCAAAAACAAACCCTCAGGCACACGGAAAACACTGTAACATTCTTTTAAAAAAATCCATAGATGGTGTCAGTGCCCTGCACAGCGTAACCGCAATTTGGAAGGCTGCAGTTTGGCCTCATTAGCTTGCAGCTGGTAGCTTTCACGTCCTAAAGGTAATTTCACTTGAACAAAGGTAGGGCACTTGGCATTCAAGATGTAGTAGCCTTAAAATTCTGCACAGAGTACATACACAGATGACTCCACCTGCCTTCAGAGGCTCACAGATCTGTAATTATTGATGAGGCCTGGTCCCATTCTAGGAAGAAGATGAACTCTATTATAAGGTAAAGGCTATAAACAAAGGCCATTAAATGTGGGACTTTTCATCAAATTTAGACTGTAAAGGCATTTATGTGTTCCCTTGTCCTTTTATCAAGAGGTTGTTAAACACCAGCTCTTATTCAGAAGGAATTTATTTCTTTCCCCATCCCATGTGTACTTCCACACGCGCACACACAGTAAATAACTTTTGTTAACTAAGGCCAAGATTCCGTCAGCAGGATGGACAGGTTTCCCTATAGTTGCGATGCTCCCCTGTGTCGCGTCGCGTCATGCCTAGCCAACTCCGCTGAGACCCTCCTTGGTCAGGTGACACCACAGCCTCAGTAGCACTCGCACATTGCCTCGGGTGCCACCATCTCAGAGCGGGTTGATTTCTACCTACCGTTTTATTGCTTCTTCTTGCCTTCGGCGCTTTTCATTCTTCTCCTTCAGATAGGCCAAGTTTGTTTCATTTCTCAAACGATCGTTCTCTCTGGCAATGTCGGACGCGTTCTGAATAACCAGGCCATCGTACGCCTTCATCCCCATATCCTCGATGTACTGGAGAAAGTTGTCCAAAGGGTCTCCCTCGGGGTTTGCACTCATCATCTTGGAGGGTATCATGTGAAAGGAACACTTCCTACAAGGTGAGAGCACATTGTATCTTTAACCAAGTAGGGATAAAAGCAAGGTGCTGGTTATGATTGCTAACATTTTGTCAATTCAGATCTCCATTGCTTATGGTAAAATTCATTTGAGAAAAGAGTTTCATTAGAAATTATAAGCCCTGTGATATTTGAAGAAATATTAAATGAGTGCTACCTGACCATCAGATACACCCTCAAAGAAGCAACATAAACAGGATGAAAACCATAGGTTGTATACTGCAAAAGGATGGGAAAGTATAAATATCGCATGTGAAGATAAACATTTGGTTTACATAACTAGTCATGATTTTGCTTCTCAAAACTGTGTTCTTACAACAGTAAGATATATCAGATCGAAGTTTCATTCATTTCTCATTATCATAAAAACATTTCTGTGCAATTTCAAATAAAAAGATTCATTGGGAAAATACGTGTGTTTTCTGCAAAATTTTAAATTAAAATGTATACATCTGAACAATTTTTACAAAACACAGCAGCAATGATCCAAAGATAAAGACATTATATTTCTAATGTAATTTTTATATGACACAATTCCTTTTGACTCTCTTATATTATATAACGGTCCTCTATAATAGTTTCATTCTATAATGTTCTCTAAGTCAAATTTTGCAGATCACTAGGACCGGATTAATCCAGACCAGTCTGGTAATTCAAGTAGTGATAACTTGTTATATTATCACTGCATAAAGGTATAAAAACATAAGCCACAGAGAAGATTACTGAGAAATCAAAACAAAACAAAATTGAAAACATGGGCCCTTCAACTAGTAGATATTATTGTCATCTATTAAATAACATTAGTAATAAAATTCTGTTGTTGTGATGGTTGAAATAAGTGTGGATGAAAGGATTTAGAATAGAGATCAACAAAATATGCATTTAAAGTTAGCAAATATCATAATAAAACTACTAGAGAAAGATTGGCAGCAATAGAAATATTAAATGAATGTATATGGATGGGTGGATGGATGGAAAAACAGGCTATGAAAATCTTCATGTCTCAAAAAGGTTTCAAAATAATTGCAGCAAATGTTTAGCAAAATTGTGCTTTAATAAAATAATGAAATAAAAACAGTTACATTAATTATATAAAAATAATTTTTTCTTTTAGATTAATAAGGATTTAAAAAATTGGTACAACTGAATCAGATTTAAAAAGCAAAACCAATTACCAAGGGGAAAGAGTTGTCCAGTTGAAGTTATAAACTACCTTACATCTTTTACTTTCTTCATAAGTCTTATAAATGTATTTTGAAAATATGAGTCTGTTTAATGTAAAAGTTCTAGACTTTCATGCTTTTCTATTATAAATCAACATCTATTTCTTTTTAAAACTTTAATCATATTTCATAACCTAGATTGTAGCTATGGAAATTTTACTTCTCATCAAAGATTATCAGCCTTTCAGCTGCCAGGCAATTCATTTTTGAATTTAAGAATTTCTTCCCAGTCAAAGGAATACATACAAATGGAGCCTGTATAGAGTCATTTGCTGATTTAAAATTTTTGTTACGCTAAATTTGTATTATGTTTTCTTCATTTTTAAGCCCTAGTGGGTTAGAGATGAAATGATGTTTTTGTTCCAAATATCTAACGTGATTGAATTGTATTTTAATATCAGTCCATCAGATTAGATGCTTAAGTGGTGTTCACACACAGAAAGATGAAATTACTGTTGCAAATAATTGCAATTTATGAACAGATAAAACCTTACCATTATCAGGAATTCACTTCTACCTGGGACTTCAGCGTTAGAGGTGCCTGGATAAAACCGGATCAGCAAAACTTTACAGCATTCTTTTTTTTTTTTTTTTTGGTACCGGAGGTCAAACTCGGGTCCTTGTGCTTATGCAGCAGGCAGTGAAACCACTGAGCTAAATCCCTGGCCCTATAGTAATCAATTTTACTGAAGTTAAGCAACCCAAGCCAGTGTTATAAGGGCACCTGAGATAATGCCTCAGGCTGGTGATGATCACCCCCACCTGCCCTCTAGAAAAATTACATATTCCCCAGTTGCATGAGGCATTATCATCCAAAGATTTTCATTTTTCCCCTGAAGTTTTCCCCCAATCCAAATGGTACCAATAATTTTATACAGTTTATATATCCAACACATTAACAAGATTAACCTGTGAACATTAGTAACCTTTATATGTGGTTTTTCAATTGTTCTGGTTTTTAAATTATTTTTGTTCTCCAAAAATATTAAACAACATTAATACAAAATATTTATACTAAAGATAATCATATAATTTTTAAATAGAAATAAACATTTTTGAAATAAAAATCAAACATGAGATCTAGTAAAATTTCACAGTTTGAGAGCAGGATTAATTTTTCTGTAAATGCTCATGTTGTTTGATTCTACAGAAGTAATTAATTCTATGAACACTCATTTTTTCAAGTATTTATTGAGCAACTATTTTAAATCAGATACTAATGAAGGCAGAATTATGAACTTCTGTATGTCCACACTGCAGTACAAGTGAACAATAATTAATTGTATTATGCATGATTAGGGCACTGATTCAGGTGAACTTCATTAATTGGTCAAACATGTTTTATTTTCACCATTTTTAAAGGTAAACAAGGAACACTTTGCAACAATTGTATGCAACATTGAAGGCTGGACTAAGCAGCATGCATAGTGGCACATAGCTATAATCCTGGCACTCAGGAGGCTGAGGCAAGAGGATTGCCAATTCAAGGGCAGCCTGGGCTACATAGTGACATGCTATGTTAAGAAACAAACCAACAAAACATTAACTAGAGTCCAGCCAATGTTTAACCATCACATTTTTTTCTGCTTGCTCCTCCATATGTAGAAGCTAGTTTGTGACGTAGGGGAGGCTGTGAGTCAGCCTGAATGGACAAGGATGAAAAGTTTTGCAGTATGGCCCAAATACCCAAACTAAGGAACTTCTGAGTCTATGAGGTGTGAACTAAGTAACATCAGTAAGGTCTGTTTTCCACATTGAAAAAATGATGATTGGAACAGACTTACGTTCTAAGGATTTAGTCACAAAATGCATGTACAAGTGTTCATTAACATAATCATAATTATCAGTAGATAACATCCCTATCTGATATTTTGCCTAATTTCTAATTGTGCACAAGATCATATTTAGTAAGAAGACAACTCCTTGGTCAACATAATTGTACTTTGAAACACAGACGGCCAGGATATTTGAGTAGATCAACGTTCTAGATCACAGACATACCAATGGCCAAAATAGCAATTAGCACATTTCCCCACCAATCAAATGCTTCTTGACCTACTCCTTACCCTTTGTCTGTATTGTCTACATCTAGAAAATAAGGCAAGTAGGACCTATGGACCATGAATCTTATCCCATCTCACAAACTCTCGGACTCTGCCCTTCCAAGCTAAAAGGATTTCTCAGGTAACTGGACCTCTTAGTTGACTCAAAGTGATTAGATTCATAGCCTCACAAAAGAGGAGTGAACCTCGTGTTATCTACCTTGTTACAAGTGCTAGCATTTGATGTAGTGAGAACCAACAAGTGAGACCATGAATCTTTCAGAAATACATATTTACAGCTAAGATAGGTGTTGAATATAATATGTTCTACATCATCAAGGACTTAGACATGGTTTGAATGTTGGATATTAAATCTAGTTAATTCCTCTCCCTTGCAAGGCATCTGTATGCAGGTGTTTTACAAAAGCTCAACTTCAGCACTCAGTTGGCATTTTAGGAGACCATATTTGTTAAGAGCCAAATGAGGTCTGCTCCTCAAAACTGCACATTTAGATGTATCAGTAAGTAAGAATGTACTTTACTACATCTCTAACTAATTAGGGTGTAAGATAATGACACCAGAGTGAGTGAAATATGGGAAGCCCTTTTGATTGAATCACTAAATATCTGCAGCCAGATTGGCTCAAAACAAACTAGAGGTTTTAGCCTTGCCTACCTACCATCCTGGAATAATGGCTAAAAACTAAAAGACAGAAATGTTTCCTTCAAATGTTCAGTACTAATCCAAATAATACAATATCATATATGTATTTCTTGGAATTTATGACCAATGTTTGTGGTTCAGTTAGGAAATCTTTCTGGGAACCACCTAAATGACCGAGTCAGAATCCCTACACAATCTACACATCACTTCATGTCTTCACTTTACATCTTTTCTCCACATCTGTATTCTGCATTCACAAGAAACTCCTTTTGTTTAATATTTAATTTACTGTGTACAGAATTGCAGAATGGTGAATGATCATATAAAATTTACAGAGATTGGCTTAAATACAAATGATGACTATTTTTTTTAGCTTTATTCATCCTCTTCTTTCACTTTGTTGCTTATACTGTATCCTGTTGACCACACCCTTCTCAAAGATTACTTTGTATAATATTGTTACACTTCCCCAAATTTGAAATTTCAGTCAATTGAGCTAGAATACACTAGTCTATGCTCATAGGCTTCTTACCTTCCTATCCAAAAGATTTAACTTTCACTGAGTTAACCACTTAATTATTTTCTTCTGTGCAAAGCCATCACTGTTCTTACCAATGCTGAACCTAGGGCTTACAGTAGCATTACTTTTCTTTAAAATTGCTTCTACAGATATAAGACTGTCATTTATGTGCACATGGGGAATATAAACTAATTATGTCCAAATGGAATTTAAGGAATATAAAATATAAAAATTCATTTTTTTCTGTAATTGCTGTTTCTATTCAAGGAACACAAGAAGCTATGACATTCCAGAGTACTCAATGTTAAAGTAAAGAAAAAAAGGGATCTATCTATCTCTGGAAATCAATTTAATTAAATCATGCATTTATGTGGAATATATTCTTCGTCAATTAAGCTACCAATTATATGTAGACTCAATTTACAAAGGATATTTACTGTGGTATCCACCTTTTTCTAGATTGAGTTCCCTATGACACAAAAGACTTCTGATTAGTTGTAGGCTGTTGTTGAAGAAAAGATGTACAAAGAGACTCAGATAAATATGCAGCATGCCAACTTCCTCTCATTTATGTTTAATCACTTTACTCCCTTTTGCTTATAATTCAGAACCAATTCCTCCACTGGTAATTCCGTGCACTTTGATATCAACCACGCCAGTTCTGAAAAGCCTGGCTCAGATGGATGTATACAGTAACTTATCAGGTAGAGATTACAATGGAGCTTGTACTTTCATTTACCAAGAGCAGAGTTCTATATGTATTAGGATCTTGTGAATGAACAAGTCCTCCAGTCTTAGGGGTGCTAGTTATTTTTATCTTCTCAGTGCTCATCCAGAATGTCTTAAATGAAGCTGTTCTCCTGCAACTTAGGTTTTCCATGATGTGAACTTGTTACAACTCCATTTACCTGGATATTTCCCACCTATACTGAGTGGAAGAAGAATAAAAAGCTCCAATTTGGGAGAGAAGCACTTTATAAGACTGAAATTCCATAGGAAGCTTCCTAAATTTTAGTCCATAGTTAACCTGTCAGATAACCTTATGAGAAGAATAAGGTAAAATTTATTTGGGGGCATTATTACAATGGTAATTGTGATGAACAGGAAGAATTTAATACATGCAAGAGATTACACAAACATTTTACTTTTACTTCATATGCATATTTTTATTCTATTTGCAGATGCCAAAAATCTCTGGTATCTATCCTTTATATATTTCTGAGGTTTTCAAACAGCACTTGTTGTAATGCTGAAAGAATATGTTAGAATTTGTGTTATTAAAATTTAATCTTTCCTCCCACTCCAATCAGCACATCTTCCCTAAGGTAATTTTGCCAGGTAGTGTTGATCCAATAAGAGTTTCCCAGGGCAATTTTGACTATTATTTGTTATTGGTCAGCGGGAAAATAAATCAACCTTTTGCATTCTTGCATGGATTTGACCAATTCAAAAACACATTGTGTATGAAATGTAACTATTTATGTAATCAAACTTCATACACATATGTAAATATCATGCCAACTAACATCTAAATTTTGATGACTTAACACAGTGGGACTAAATCTCCAAACTGGATAGCCTGGTTATAATCTGTAACCCATATAAACCATAGCAAAATTGTTTTTCTTATAAAATCTTACAATCTGTCAAACATTTGTCTTATCATTCCACTTTGATTATGCTTAAAATTTTATCCCCCACCCCACAAATGATCGTGCTCATTTTCTTATCCTCCCTGTCATCAAAATGCAGCTGTTTGGCCCAAAATGGGAAATGTTGAAGTTACAACCAAGAAAGCCTGCTGAAGGGACTACAAAGACACTGATTGCTTTTTTTTCTCAGAAAGAAGATTACTTTGCTGGGAGTTTTTCTCCTCTCTCTCTCTCTCTCCCTCTCTCTCTCTCTCTCACACACACACACACACACACAAATTGGCATAATGGGCATATATCATTTCTATGTAGTAGCATAAAAAATCAAAAATCCTCCACTTCCAGATTGCCACATGCCTCTTGGCAGTGTTTTAAGAGAATGCACATCTCCACTAACACAAGAGGCTCTACAAAGTGCTAGTGATGAGGGTACTTTTTGGAGCCATGGAGCAGTTGGTTCCAGACGCTTACAAGGCAGTATTTGAAAAGCACATACAGTCAGTTTAGTAAATTGCTGACTGGAGCTACAATACAACCATCTAATTGAACTGAGAGTCTATGACTGATTTATTTATTTCAAACAATAGCCAAGGCTCCTTTTCCTGGAATTTTTGCACATCTGTTTCTAAACTTTCCAGACTTCATTTTAGTCCTTTCTGAAGTTGTAACATTTTTATCAGGTCTGTTTTCACTAATTCTTTAAATTGCTAATGTTTTTCCCAGAGTTCCTGTCTTTGCTGAATTGGATAGCATATGTTGCACTTTCCATAGACAAACAAAATAATTTCTGCATCTATGCCCCACATTTCCCTCTTAATTTGTGCAGTTAGCACTTGGCAATATATAAAAAATATGCAAGCAGTGTTTAAAATGTGTAAAATTAGAAACAGAGTTAATTTTCATTCTTGCTCTATATTCAGTATTCCACAGTACTTGATTATAAATTGTTGGATGTTAAAATGACTAAAATTATACCCTGTGACATCCTCAGTTGGTTATTCTCATTTGCTAACTATATTTAGAAAAAATACATTTCTAGGATACATAAACAACTTTAAGATTTCCCAATCTGAATATACAACATTACTGAACATAGCAGTTCATCCAAACATGAAACACCTACATTTATCTTTTAATATTTCCATATCATTGAAAAAAATCAGAATGGAGACACTCCAACAAAATAGATACATGTCCCAAGTAAAAATAAGTCCACCTAAAGTTCTGTAGAAAATATTTTTTATGATGAGACTAAGGAAACCTTCTAAATATTGATCAATATTAAATTATGTTTGTTAAAGAAGTTTATATCTGATTATTTAGGAAGAAGCAGTGTCAGCCTTGGTGTATGTCTGGCAGTTTGACATTGTTTGTGGTACTATGTCTTTATTTTTTTTTCTGAGAATCCAAAATTGGGCTCTCACTTGCTGACACAAATGTATTAAGTGACTGTAGTAAAATATTTATGGTATGGAATAGTAGATAAATAGCTAGCATGCCCAACTTGAATGCCAATTAATATCCTCAGAAATATTTTCAATGCTGTTAATAATTCAACATGGCTTATTTTACTAATGAAAATCTAGTTTAACCATTTCCATGGTAATGGAATTCAGTGGGCAAGGGAGTAAAAATAGCCAGAGGCTCACTGAAGCTCTGGATGCCTTCACTGTGGCTTTATTTCTGCTCCACTTAATAAAACATGCCAACTTCAGCATTAAGTATCTCTAACCATAACATCCATTCCATTTTATAACCAGATCTCTTGATCTCTGTAGTGCTGGATTCAATTAGCATGCTTAGAGAATCTGAAAAATGAGATACGTACCCAAACGCAAGTCCCCAGGGAGAGCTAAGTGCAATAATCAGAAGCTGACTTGTATCTGCCAGAGCCCTTGCTTGCTCACGTTGGTCTCAGGGCAGTTCTGTAGGAGTAATCCAGCACCATAAGAAATAGACTTGTAGTTCAGCTTAGTTTCTCTTCAGTTAAAGTGCATTGTATGAAGATGGGAAAAGTGTCGAATCCCAGATTCTGCATCACTAGTAATCAGAGGATTCTCGTTGTTCTTCCTACCAGATAAATGACCTTTAAAGTTTGCTAGAAAGATGCACTGGAAGAAGACAGGTGCTTGCGTCCTTAAATCGACATTCGGAGAAAAGAGGGCATAGCTAGTGGGTGGGGATGAACACACAGCCCTTCTCCTTCCAGGTCCAGCAGGGAAGAAACTGGGTGATTTTACCCACTTTGCCACACAGCTGATTACAAGACCCGAAGCAATCACCAGGCTGGCTAGGGTACCTCATTTGATTATATTCTGTGGAGACAAAAATAAATGAAAAAAATCATTCACGTCCTCTCTAAATGTCTTCTTTCGTCCAAAAAGCTGTCTTTTTTCCTTGCCACTTCTGTACAGGAGGTTTAGAGCAGCCTAGCCTGTGGCATCATCCCTCCCCCGTGACAACCAGCGCGCGCGCTCTCTCTCCCTCCCTCTCTCTCTCTCTCTCTCATTCTCTCTCGCGCTCCACTCCCTCCCTGCCCCTGACTCCCTCCCTTTCTGCTTCTCCCTCTCCTCTCCAGCTGCCTTAGTCTGTTGATGCTGCTGCTGATTAATCAGGGATTCTGAAACAAAGAACCTACCTTCTGAAATAAGCAGTAATCTCTCTTCTGCTCCTGCAATCCGTCTGCATTGAATGGCAAAGCTGCCGGCATCCTAGTACCTTGGATAGTTCCCGCTCCCTAGGCCAATTGGAAAAGGGAGAAGCAACTGAAGAAATGGCAAGAAACCGGAAAGCAGCACCGTTCTACTTTGGATTTGGACTCCCTGGGGGCTCTCATCCTCATTAAAGACCTCACATGTAGGCAACAGAACCTCTCTCTTTTATCCAACTGAGCTGAAGTCTGATGAGTAAATAAAAATGAGAAGAGGGTGAAGAAACCCCTTCACTGATATCCGCTATAGCACCAGTTTAGTCTTTGGAGTAGAAAAATACGAATCCATAAAGAATGCCTATTCTTGCTGCAGAAGATGCTTAGGTTATAAGCTCTTCACCCCTGGTGAGACCACTGAAAATGAGCAACAACTTAAAAGGAACATCCGGATCTCAGTTTGATACCCTTATTTGATATCAATTCTGTCTCCTCCCTCCCTGCACAGCCCAGCCACGCACACAATTACTGCTGACGTACTTTGGGCTGCTGCTCCGGGAAAGAGGGGAGGAGCCTTTTAACCTCATCAAAGCAGCTTATGCCACCTGCTCCCATGGCATGAGAACAAAACTGGCCCCTTTGGAAGGAGCAGGCACAGCACATGTACGGGGAACGAAAGTCTCAATGCATATTTTGTAGCAAAAATAATACGTGAAATAATTACCCTACATGTGTCATTACCTCCTAGAGACTCACTGCTAAAGTTATTTACTCTTTCGCTTTTTTATTTTTCCTACAAACTCTCTTCAGTATCTTACTGAATATATACATGTAATTTATGTTACATGTCACAACTCATGTATGTGTATAGATGTGTTTGAACATACAGAAAAATATATGTATGTATGAGTACAACAGACGTGTGTATATATATATATATATATGTTCATCAAGTCTTAACTTTTTAGCCTATGATTAAATAATAAAATGTAAATTTAAAAAATATTTTCATTTTCTAATATTGGAAAAGTAACAATAAACAATAGGCTTCTGCTTTATTTGGGGTAAAATATCAATTCTGAGAATGAAAATGTGTTTATTTTTCAGTAGTAATCTCTAGAATTTTTCCATCACTTTTTTTGCCAATAACCTTTATTATAAATGACCTTCACTTGCAGACTGATTTTCCCAATAGGTAAACACCTAGATTCATAAATAATTTCTTAGAGAAATGTGTTCTATATGTAAAACAATTTTTCATGTATCTCTTGATCATGAAATAATAATAAATTTAAGTTCACCTTCTTTATTCTTAAATGCCACCTGAGACTACGCTATGATTTTGTAAATTTTGTTTTTTTCCCCCCATGGGAAGATTAAATAAACACATTATATTACTATAAGACTTCTGATTTCATATGCTGTAAATAGTGTTCTTAAAGCTTATCCCTTACTCGCTGGTCTTTGAAACTCTTCCCTTGGAGTGGAAGAGAACTGCTTTTTAACATTATAAATTAAGTTCTCTGGAAAATTAGATAGGAAAAGAAGTAAAGGGACTATAACTGGGAAAGACAAAAGGCCACATCACCTTCTCTCTCTATTTCTTTCTTTCCTCCCTTCTCCACCTCTGTCTTTCATCTGTCTCTGTCCTGGTCTTTGTTTTGCTCTCTCTTTGTCTGAATTAAGGAGGTCCGAAAACCTGAGCACCTTGCAGGAAACTTCCTCAAGTGCCACTTACAATCTACCACAGCCACCACACTGTGATCAAGAGGTTTACTAATGTATCATTATATTTAGTCCTGAAGTATTCTCATAAAAGTTTCTTCTGCACACAGCCAAAGGTGACAAAGATTTTTAATAGGGAAATTACATAAAGACATTTTTATGATGTGGAAATACTTTATCATGACTGATAATTTTACCAGGTTTGGGAAGCAGTATTGTGAACTACAGAGAGCTTGAATAAAAATGTATGAAGCCTGCTTTTACAAATGAAAAAACAATGCACAGATAAATGAAATGACTTGCTTCTAGCCTCATGCCCATTGGCTCATTAGGATTAGGACCAATTTCACTGAGTCCTCTGCAAGCCCCATCATCACTGGTCACCCTCATGGTTCTCTATCTCTTTGACTTGTGCACCAAGGTCATTCAAAGGCTGACATAGAGATGAAGAACCTGCCACTTTAACCTGAAAATTCCAAAAATAAAGAGGATCTTATTCCAAAGAATAGAGAATACATTTATAATAACAGTGCTTTAAATTGAATATTTACAACTTTAAGAAACTATATGATATTGCATGCCCATCTTTCTTTCTTTCCTCCTTCCTCCCTTCCTGCCTCCCTCCATCCATCCCTTTCTTCCTTTCCTCCTTTATTTTCCTGTTTTCTTTTTTCCACTTCATATAAGAGAATAGGTATTGGGAACCATTACATCACACCAACCTTATCTTCTCAATCCAACACTCTCTTCATTCTAGGCTTCAGTGTCTGCTAATTGGACAATTTCTTCCCTGGAGATGTATTACTGTACAAGAGTTTATGGCACCTTTGGGATTGCTGTCCAGAATTATTTCTTTAGATCTTTTTGAGTGAAACAAAAGGCATTGTGAACTCTTCCAAATAATCTTAGAACCAAATACAAAAGTCTCTTCTACTCATTTCAGTAGTGCTCAGAGTGAAATGCATTGGAAAAAACTGAAATTGAGAATCCTTATAGTAAGAATAGAGGAATGCAGAGATCCCAAGTACTCAAATAAGAGATATATGGTGGTTTATTTCTTGTATATTGTCATAAAATACATAGATATCTCTGTTGATTGATATATCTTTTAAAGTTCTTAAATCAGGGTGAAGTGTGTCTTTTTCTGTCATTCAGATGCAGGGAGTGCATGTTTCAGGGAACAAATAGGTTCCTTCAGTGAACTCAAATACAGAAAGAGATCCAGAGCATTGAAAATGTTTCTTATTTTAAAATTTGGCCACATGGTAGGGAGTTATTTTTGTATAAAAGTGATTGAAATGGGAAACATAAGAATTAACATAAAGAAGACCAGTTACTAGTTTTAAAGAATTTATTAGAATTCATCAGGAGAGTACTCTCTACATTCTTATACTTATAACAAAACCTTTCTGGGTTTTTCTATGATTTATAAACTTTCCATTATTCATTCCATATTTCACTTAGGGAGGTGACCTTTCTCTTACAATGAACTAATTCCACTAGCAAAAAGTTAATCTTCTTCCAATACAGCCAGGATTTCCAAGCATTCTGGTAGCAGCATAAAATGAAAGACTTGGGAGAAGGAGAATCATATGTTCTTCATGAGTTTTGCCTATAACAACATAGATGTCAGTGGAAGTGACACATATGACCTAGAAATCATGGAGCAGAGGATGCAATATGGATGTTCTAGGATCCAGAATTCTCAGTGATGCAAAAGTAAGATTTAGAGCCTAATAATGTACACAAAGCTACATTTATAGTGTCAAGGGAAGATACTAGCAAGAAATGGAATATTCTCATTTCAAGAAACTTATGATCAAACCCAGACCTCCCTTATTTGTTTTGTTCAACATATGTTTGACAGTGAATATTTCAAAAATAGTGTAAGTATATTTATCTTTGAAAAGTAGCACACATATTACTAAAAAGGGATCTACATGTCTATTGAATCAGACACCATTACTATAACTAATTCTATCTTTTCTTTGAATGGGGATATCTAATCAAGTTCTAAATACTAGATCTTTCAGATTCTGGTATCCTGTTCTAATGTAACACCATCAAAAGCGGGTTTTTGGTTCTCTATATTATAAAATATCCAATGACTCACTAAAAATAAAATCATGAGGCTTTGTTCATACTAAACCTGCATATTATATTTTCTATGTGTGCATGTGAGATTCTTTAGAAATGGAATCCCTTCCTTTCCATTCCCAGGACCCCAGCATAGGGATTGCATCTACTCAATGCTAGGGGTTTGTTGAATTAATGTGTTACTTCTGGTCTCAATGCATGGAATGTCCTGCATGAGTAGAAAATTCAAAGTACCTACATTATAAACATAAAATACTTCTTTAAAATTAAATACTTGTTTAATAATAAAGATTTAAAAATAGAAATAGTCCATCTCAAACCCAAACACTTGTGGAGGAAAATCTTTTCAAAGGTATTCCATAGCTTTTCTACCTGAAAAATCCAAAGTAACCAGTTTGAAACTGACTATAAATGACAAAAATTCTATAAGAAGATCACCTGAAAGTACAACACAAGGATCTTATTTAGGGAAAAAAAATGAAAGTTTTTTGAGATAATGTCTCAGCTCAGAGGTCTGTAACAAAAGACCACAAACCCAGTAGCTTACCCTATTCTGGATTCTGAGAAGTCCAAGATTAAAGTGCTGATAGATTTGGTTCCTGTTGAGGGCACTCTTTCTGGCTTTCAGGGTGTGCTTTCTGATTATGGCTGAGAGAGGGAGGAGGGAAAAGGAAGAGAAAGAGACAGAGAGGGACAGAGACAGAGACACAGAGCAGAGAGAGAGAGAGAGTGACAGGCAGAGAGAGGCAGATCTGGTTTGTCTCCTGCTTCCTATAAAAATACGAATCCAATCAATCCAATCAACAGAGGCCTCAGTTCATTGACCTCATATAAAACTAATTACCTGTCCAAGGCCCCACCCACAAATACTCTCACTTTTGGGGACTGGGGTTCAGCATATGAGCTTTGGGGGAATGCAAACATTTAGTTGATAACAGAAATAAAAGATTTTGGGCAGAGGAATTCCTTTTTCTGAAATACAAAGACTCAATTTTACAAATAATTATTCTTTATTAAGTTCACTATAGCTAATATAACTCCAATCTAAACAAAATTGACATTGATGGAATTTAAAGAGCTGTTGGCACATAGGCTCTTAACTAAATATTAAGATATCCTGCAAAGCTACATTGATTTCACTGCACTATAACACAGAACATAACTGTAAATCAATAGAAAAGGTCAAAAAGTCCAAGAAAAGCATATATGTGTATTTAGCACAAGATAAATACACAAATCAATAAGTAGTGAAATTAAATATACAGAAAAATGCATATATATGTATGCACATAAAGACTTTTATCCAGGGGGTTTTCAATATGCAGAAGTTCAGGGCCCTTTGCAGACTGTCTTAGTTTGAGCTGCTGTAGCAAGATATCACTGAGTGACTTAAAGCACAGAAATTTATTTCTCACAGTATGAAGGATGAAGACCCAAGATCAGGATGCTAAATGGTCAGGTTTAGTGTTAGTTCATGGTTCTTTAGATGACAGCGATGAGAGAGAGCAAGGATAATCTCTCATTTTCCTTCTCCTAAAGAGACTAATCCCGTTATGAGGGTTCCATCTTCATGGCCTAATTACTTCCTAAATAGTCCTTCCCCAAATACCATCATCACACTGGGGATTGGGGTTTCAACATAGGAATTTTGGAAGGACACAAATGTGTAGCCTCTAACATCATCTAA